GACCATGGAATGTGGCAGCCAGCGGTGAAGGTGATCCGGTTGCCTGAAATGCTGTCATGTGATCACAGATGCATCTGTGTATACAACTGTCTGATGTCCAGAGCTGGTAGCTTTTTGGGGTGGGGAGGGGTATTCTTTGTAACTTATTAGTTGTAAGTGAAGGACTACCTGTATATGTTTATGAGACCATAAATAATTATACTTTCGAATTGATGTAGTTTGCTTTTCCCTAACTTCCCAAAGAGAGCCAATTTGTTGTAATGGTTAAGACATCAGACTAGAAACTGGGTGACTGCAAGTTCTGGTCACTGAGCCATTGATAAACTATTCAGATTGATGAGTCTTTAGCGTTAGAAGGCCAGATGTTATTTTATTGGCATCTTGTGTTGCTCTTTAAGCATATATTGCCTCAACAATTATCTGGGTTCTGTAACTAGATTCCTGATTCCAAAATGATGAGTAGTTTTCATAGGAAGTATTGAAAGCAAAAGACCTGTTTCCTGTATAATATGCAAAGATTGAAGTGTTTGCCCATATAGATTTTCTCTGAAGCTCAAGATTTTTCCATAACATGACATCTACCTCAATAAGCTAGGAAACAACAGTGTTGTTGTTCATGGTCATCTTGCAGTTCCTGTTGAAATGTAATACTCCGCTGCATTTGTCTTCTATTTTTCTCCTCCTTGATTGTACATTTAGTAGCTATTACATGTGCTCTGTTGCATTGTTCTTCTGAAATAATTTTGATGAATGAGCCTATCCTATATTATTTTGATTGTAAGTCTTCTTTGCAAATATTTGTAAGAAGTTCCCTGTGATTAGCATCATTTCTTTTCCTTTTAAATGGACTTGGCATTTACAAAATTTGGCAAAACATATACTTGAATTTTCCTATGGGAAAAGATAAAGATAAAGCAACAGGAGAGGAGAGCAAACATGATAGTGGTTTGGCTTCAAATTGATTATTTTCCTTTGATCTGAAGGAATGGCATCATTCCTGCAATGTAATGTGAAAGGAGGAATCCAAAAGTAGGACTAGCTTTGTTTAATTTGAAAGTCTGGCTTAAAAATCCTAAATGGTTTGCCTTCACACTCACTCTCTCTCTCCTTTAGTATAAATTCCCTTCTAGTGTTGGTGTTTGAGTCATGGTATGTGGGTGTACTTTTAATGTACAATCATTTATACTAACTTTTCTGGTCTTTTCTGCTTAGATAATTGAATTGCCAATTATACAATGAGTCTCATCTTATAATGTATTAAGAAACAGCTACATTCCATAAAGAACTTCCAATATTATCAGCAACAAGTGATCTAGTTTTCATCTGTAATTTAAAATTTGATCTGACCAAATAAAAAATATAGTAGCAACTAATCAGTTAAGAATGTTATCTCTCTGTGTGTTATATAGTCAATACACACACACACACACACACACACACACACACACATCCCTGTCAATTAATTTTTATTGTGATATCTTGAAATAAAACACAAGAACACCCCTACTAGGTAAGGCTATAGATGTTGGACTCCGAGAATAGATCTAACTGGATGCTAAAAACATTCTAACCATATTTACTATATGTTAGTTTTCAATCCACATCCTTTCCAGCACATGGATTTTAACAATATGTTTCTGCTGATTTATACTTTGATAAAACCATGAAGTAAAGCAGCTATTTTGCAAAATGATAAAATTAAAATTGTCTCCCTGATTACAGAATGAGAATTTAATAAAACAAAAGAATTCTTGTTGTGTTGGTTTTGTCCTCTATAACAGGGGTGGGATGCTACCAATTCTGCCTGGCTCTATAGAACCAGTAGCTCTGAAGAGCAGCAGACACAGAACTGTATCACCAACAAAACATAATCACCAAACTGGTAGTAACACTGGTTGAATCCCACTCCTGCTCTATAGATAAAGCAAAGAGTTTTCTACAGATACTCATTCCAGAGTTAACTCTTTAGAAGTAATAATGTTCCCAACTGCATAAAATATATTCCATATCCTTAGTTTAAGCATTACAGGATCTCCTAAATCCTAATATTTGAGTAAAGGTTCAATATTATGAACAAATTATTATGAAGTTGTAGCCCCTGTCTTTGGAACAGCAGCCCTCATGAAGATACCTACAGCTCCCATTCTTTAAATGTGCTAGAAATCTCATAAAACCCAGCTTTAATTAGGCGTTAAATTATCCATGGAATCTATGGCAATTTTTCTTGTGTTTCCGAGTTCTATTGATGGGGTTTTGTTCAGATGGTCACGATTCTTTTATATTACGTATTCTTTCAAATAAGGCAAGCTGTCCAGAGTCTTTGGAGTTGGGCAGCCTCAAAATCCAATAAAGAAAACCAACCAATCAACAAATCATAGTTTAAAGAAATGTGTTACATAATAAGGCCTAGTTGTCATTGTATTAGCATTAAATGATCTAGCTTGATTATTTTCTTATTTTACTATTTATTTACTTGGTTATTACTCAATTTTAATTTGTTTCTCTTCTAATTGCAGCTCAGAGCTGTGGAAGATTTATCTTAAATTATGTATCCTATAGTAAAATATGTACACCTGTTTTTTGTGCATATGATAGCTGATACATAGACAAATTTGCCAAACAGTCCTATTTCTAATTATACAGAAGCAACAACTATGCAGATCATTCTGTATAGAATAGTAGAGTTGAAAGGGACTAGTTCAACCTCCTACCCAAGCAGGAAGCTATATATCATTCTGGACAAGTGACTGTTCAATATGGACATATGGCTGTCTTTAAGTATGCATTGAATGAAACAAAATTGAAAGTAATAATAGAGATTGTGAAAATTTGCAGCTAATAATATTACTTCCTGTACTTGGATGCTTTGTAATCTAAGAAAACACATAGTTGTAAGCAAGCCAAATATCATCTGGCTATTATTTGAAAGAATTTGAATTTATGAATTCAGTTCTACACTTAGGAAAGAAAACTGAAAGCAGTAATGGAGTAACCTTGCATATATAATTGTAAATGTCAAGAGAAAAACAATTTCTAATTGCATTTGCTAAATAATAAAATTAATAAAGGTTTACTGCATGTGAAATTTCTAGGTTTGTAAGGGCTTAAAATTAATTTGGATGATTTATATTAATACACTAGTTTAGAATGAGGAATATAGCACCCTGAACTAGATGAGAATTGCCTATACTAGTTCATGCCTTTTAAAATGATAGACTTCTGTGAATTTTTGTTAGGAAATGTTATATATAATGTTTTTATTAGATGATTTACCTCTAAAGTTCCTGGCACATGATGATAACAGGATATGACAAACACAGCCTTGAGAATTTTCTCTAGAATTCTAGAGAGGGATTTCCAGTAAGACTTGTTCATTTTTTTCCTCAAATGTCTGGCTGATCACTTGAGGGTGACATATGGTAGAAACATGCTTTGAGGGACCAGCCTCCTGTATGGCAAACAGTACCATGCAAAACAGACAGATGGTGGCTTATTCAGTCTTGGAAAGTTGTTTTATCCTACATACTGGCAAAGCCTAAGTATAGAGAGATGGAGAGAAAGCTATACAACCCTAATGGCAGCTGAAGCAAAGATGTGATGAAAATGCTCACAAATAGCTTTGTACTTTGAATGTAATAATATTTCTCTAATATAATCAAATAAAACAATCCCGACAGGTTCAAAATATATATAGTAAATAGCAACAAATATAGTCTGTTGTTTGAAATTGTATGAAAGGTGCACATGTTAAAAGACATTAATTTGAATTGTTCAATTGCTTAGGAGAGGGATGCATTTTTAAGTCTATTTTTATTTATATATTTGTTAATTATACTTTCCTTTCTCCCAGTCTTTAGTATTTATTATACTTTTCTTTGCATGGTTGATGGATTATGTACTATCACGTACATATCTGTACATTGATTATGTACAGATCACGTACATAAGAGTTAGTATCATGTACTAACTCTTAGCAACTGCATAGATGGATTTTCTCCATAACAATCTGTCTAACTTGGTTTTCCATCTGTAATGGTACACCCATCACCATTGCAATAGAGTCTGTGCTGATCGTCATCTTCTCTTTTCTTCTATTTTTACCAGCATTATCACCTTCTTTAGAGAACAAGGTCTTTACATACAGGTAGTCCTTAAATGTACAACCACAGTTGGGACCAAAATGCTACGTGATACAATTGCCTGATTTCTGGAGTGCGTTTTCCCATGGTTGTTAAATAAATCCAGTTTCCCCCATTGATTTTGCTTTTTGGAAGCCACGAAAGATCAGGAAGACCATAGGACTTTGTAGCCATAGTAAATACATGCTGGTTGCCAAGTGCCCAAATCATGATCACTTGACCATTAAGATGCTGTGAAACTCATAATTTGAAGAACTGGTTATAAGCCACATTTTCCAGTGCCATTGTAATTTCAAATAATCATTAAGTGAATGGCTGTAAGTTGAAGATTACAGGCAGACATTACAGGTCTGTAATGTGTCCAAAGTAGGATAATTTGAGCTTGGTCATTTGTACCTTGAGCTAGAACTCTATGTTGATTTATACAATAATCCTCTTGTTTGGTTTCTTGGCTGTCCAAGTATTCCCAAGAGTCTTGTCCAACATTCAAAGTTCAAAAGCGTCAATACTGTTTCTATCCTGCTTCTTCATTCCTACATAATAAAAAACTATTGTATGCAAAATGTCATAAAATTTTGGAATGTATGTAAAAACAGTTAAAAATACTAGTAAGCTTGTTTATTTAAAAAACTTAGATACTGAAAACAATTACTTCTTAGCAATTATGACATAACTATAATTAATAATAATGAGTGAAAGTCAAGTAGATCTTTACATTCTCTTATGTAGAGAATATAAGCAGTTGTTAATTTGTCTTGAAAGTCCATATTTCAACTGAAATCACAATAGAGGTTCATCAAGGTCTTGCTGGAGAAGAATTCTTGGAAATTTAAAACAATTTTTGTCTGTTTCTCTCCATAGAAAAACTGAAATTACTGGCTGAACAGGACAATGATTATTAATTAAATACAATTCAAAGCTGTACTGTGGTTTCCTGAATCAATTGTGGTGAGTAACATCATTTACATGTTTTATATGTATATATATCACTTTCTATGGGGAAAAAATACCTTATTCTTTTTATTTTGTGACTGCATTTCTGTCAGTGACATTTTTCTGCCCCATCATCAATAGTGTCTCTTCTCCTAAGACAGTGATGGCTAACCTTTTCAGCTTGGTGTGTCGAAAATCGGAAAAAAGTGTAGCCTTCCTCAGGTCATGTGTCACTTCAAGAAATATCAATAATTTGGTAATATTTGCAGCCCTAATAAAGAGAGAGTTATATTTTTAATATATTTAATATATTTATTAGTTCAAAAAGCAAAAAACAAATAATGATTTACCTTAGTGACTTTTCTGTTGCTGAATTGCATTTGCTAAATCTTCAGCCTCAGAAGAAGAACCCTGCCAGGAGAAAGAAATTAAAGTCAATATGATGTCCAAAATAAGGGGGTTTTTTGGTTTGTGTTTTGGAGATTTTTTTGGGAGGGTTTGCATGGTGCTCTGTGAGGATGGTGAGAAGCAAGAACTGCAAGAGGTGCTATGGAGGCAATTAAAGCTTAGAGGGACTGGAGAGGGGCTGAATGCTGCAGACTAGACATCCAAGCGTTTTGCAATGGGAGAGAAGAGGGGAGAGCCACAAAGACAGAAATGCAGATTTTAGTATTAATTGCACTTACAGCCACCCGATGCTGCTTATCGTGAGCACTGTGTCTGGTTGTTGTGGTGCAGTCCTCCTGCGATGTTTATGACGGACTGGTCTGGGGTGATCACACAGGGCTGTGAAACTCGTCTCCCTGGTCTCAGGGCTGCAGGTACAGGATGTGGGGATTGGAAGGCCACCTTACAGGGCTGTGAACCTCATGGATCTCCTTTCCTCCTGTAGCGTTCCTGAGGTAATGAAACTGACAAACCTCAGTTTATGGTGGTTAAAACTGGTTCTCTGCTGCAAAGATCTCGAGGCAGCAGTGACACCACGCGTCCACGCAACAATCAGGGAGCAGGGATTGGAGCAGAGCGCAGGCAGCCTCTAAATGTGCAGGTTTTCCCCACACCAACAGGTGTGTCAGTCAAAGTGCCTCGGCGTGTCACAGGTTAGCCATCACTGTCCTAAGCACTTCCAAATCATACATTAGAAATGCTGTGCAAAGATTTTAAAATATGGTGGTTTTAGGGGAAGTAATGCAACAGTATAATATTTAAAATGAAAAAAAATATATTTCATGTGTGTCTTGATAAAATCAGAATATATCCCGTACATACAGTAGATTTACAAAAATGATTGCTAACTTGCTAATTCAGCTAAATTATCTGAATGAGTATATAAATGACTGAAATCACTTTATTTAAACTTGATTTACTTTGTGGGCTACTACAGGTTTACTTATAAATGTGTATGTGTGTGTATGTGTGTGTGCATGTACGCACATACATTGGAATGATTGGCTGCTTTGTCATTCACATTTGCAAAGTGATCTGGTTAGGTTTTCACAATACCTAATCAAGATCAATAATACTATACAAATAAGTTTTCAATTATGGTTGCCAATAGGAGATACTGTCAACTATTTTTAATTTGTCTGTAGCAAAAGCCAACAATACAACATTAAAAACATTTCATTTTCAGTTATAGTCTTAAATAAAACTAAATTAAAAAGTACCATCAAAAGACAGCATTCCATTCTAGTTGCTTTGCCCAATCTTTTATCTCTAAAGAGATTTGGGACAAAATTAGGGCCTTCCACATTGCTGCAAATAAAGGAGGAGCAATATAAAAAGAAACAAAGCCAGCAACTGTGGAAAGTAGTGGAGCTCTGTCTCCAGGGAACATTTCAAGGAACAGGCGTCATCTTCAGATGCAGACCTGGTAACTCTGTTATATTTCAAATTGCTTTTCAAGGACACAAATATAACCGAAATGGAAAATTGTTTCTGGCTTACACTATCCAGTCTACAGACTAGGTTGCCTCTTTCACATTGTGTAGGCTATTAAAAATATTTCCATCAAATTGATTTGCTGCACACTTTGGTGGCCACAAACTTAAACACTTGACTCAAAAAGACATATATTTCTATGTCTACAGTCTACTAGATGAAATGTTTGACACATACAGCACTTACGATACAAGCCTGCTGTTTGTGGAAATAGCTTGCCTGCCTAAAAATAGACTAAAGTTTCATTGCTTCTATGAAAAATGAAGTGTGTTTCTTGGATATTCTGATGAAATAACAAGCCCGTACCAAACATATACTTTTTCACCCCTTCAGTGTCAGAGAAAGACCATATATGAACATAAACCAAAGATGACAAATTGATTTGCAAATGTGCATACAGTTAATGTTCATACAGGTGTAGTACATAATGCAGGTGAATTATTTTAACTCTTCTATAGCCTGTGTAAAAGATTGTCATACCATACCTTTTTGTTGTTTTTTGTCTTATATTTGATATCTAATGCATTATAATGTATTACAGTGATTTCTCTCTTGGCCAGTTTTCAAAAAGTAGATCAAAATAGTTGATTGAGCTTTCATCAATTAAACAAATTTTCCCTGATATCTGGGAATTTCTTCCTCACTTTGGAATCTGATATGAACTGCATTGTCTATTTATATATTGTTTTTTTTATTCACTTTGGTCTTCTTCCTCTTTGAGTAGAGCAAATATTTTAATGGCACCATAAGTTTCTAGTTTCGGCTGCAAAGAAAGGTGGGAAAAGTTCAGCCAAGTCATCTCCTCCTTCTTGGCCTTAACATACACACAGAGCAAACATGCTACCCCTCGTGTCCACCCCAAGGTGGTCGTCTGGCCAAGTGCCTTACCTTTGTGGGCAGTTGCGGTGAGCAGAGTGGGCAAGATGTAAAGATCAGCTGGGCCACATGGTCTGGGTGATTGAGCCAGAGAGTAGTTGGGTGCGGGCGTGACTCTAGCCACCAGCCAAGGTGGGCAAGGTGAGATAGGGTGGGGTGGGGCAGAGCAGGGCACGGTGGGCAGAGCCAGCCAGTGGTGGGATTTGCCGGTTCACTGGACTGTGCAGAATTGTAACAATTGGTTCGCCCAAACCAGTCCGAACGGCAGCAACCCACCTCTGGGTATGTCACAAATAACTAGTAGTGTTAAGAGATACTTTTTTCTTTTAAAGTTTTCCTAAATTACAAATGTTCAAAAAATCTTTTGGTAAAAAATTCTACATCTAGTTGCCTTGATGAAGTAGCCTACAATGAAAAGAGACCACCACCACCCCCTCCAAAAAAAATTGAAGGAAATTTTAAAAGAATTCAAACTGTTATTTCTGGAAAAGGTAGATTAAACCTTTTTGTTATTACTTCTTTTTAAATTTGTATTTAATGCAGGTTATATTCTGCTTCGGTATTTTCTTCTAATATTAAGAAAAATAGGAAAATGATGGTTTTAAAAAGAAATTGTAAATAATATCTGCATCTTTTCCACTTAACCCTATTCTGATTAAGGTAGAAAAGCACAGTCATCTTGGGTGGTCAAAAGAAATTAAGTAGTTCCCACTTTGATTACACTACTGTATTTTTATCTGCTTGGAAGGAGAGTTTTTAATGAAAACAAATGTTGTAGATTTGTTTCCAATAACATGGAAATTGCTGTGCACGAAGAGTACAAGTAATGATATGAGATTGGAAGGAAGACAATTTCATAGAGTTTCTTAAAGTGTGGTCCTAGGACCTCTTGGGACACCTCAAAATCAAAAATTATTTGGCAGATAATGAATATTTTTACAAAAATTTTAAAAAATAGCGTTCTTATTATTTTTTCATTTGTTAAAAATAAAGTTGTTTTTCATGAAAGATAGTTATGTTATATCGAATGGTTTTTAATGTTATTTTTACACAATTCATTTAATAATAAATATTCAATGAATCCATCTATTTTAATGGCAAATATTGATAAATGTAATCCCTACACACTCTTTTGATGTCCTCCATAATTTTTTTTAAAAAGGAAGAGGTTCTGAGAGTAAAAGTTTAAGAAACACCGACATTTGAAGCAGTGTTCTAAGTGAGCTGTTAGTAGTAGGAACCTTTGTATTTCACGATGAATGAATCCAACAATTGCAACAACATTTTATAAGCGCTATTCAATAATGATGATTACATTATAGCTCTTAACCTAACCATATTGTATAAACTTACATTTTAAAGTTATGGAAATATATCTTTAAGTTTAATGGGGTAAAAAGCTGCATTGTTTGGGGTAAAAAGTAGATTCCTGTGAAGGAGCAAGATGGCCATTAATGGAGTTTCCTTTTCCAATGGCCTCTAACTGTTCAGAAAGGGGTTAAGAGTCCCTTTCTTTTGCATTTGGCATAAAGGCAAAAACCTCCTTGAATTTTGTGTTGACTCCTGGCAACAGCTTGGAAATTTGCTCCTGCAAATTTCTTGACAAGATTTTTCAGAAGTGTTTTGCCATTAACTGTGAGAGAATGGTTGGCTCAAAGTATTTCAGCTGGCTTTGGGCCTAAGGCAGAACTAGAACTCACAGTCTTCTAGCCTAATGCCTTAATCACTACACCAAACTGATTTGATTCAAGTATACATGTTTAATAATTACAAATGTGTTTATTTTAAAATACTAATAGCCTCCTCTGAACATGTCTTTTAATTTAAAGAACAGTTGTGTCAAATCAGCTTATGTAAAAGAATTTTCAATATTTTTTCCTGTTTTAAAAACATACATTTGAGAACTAACTGGACCTTTTTCACATATTTCTTGAGAATATATATATTATCTCCTCTTGCTTCTTAAATCTGAAATACATGAAATAAAAGAACATTCTAAAAGCCTGGGCATTTTATGCTTTCAGGCAACTCCTAGAGTCTAGTCGGTTGCACTTAGTTTTCTTAGCAAATCCCATCTTTATTAGACTTGATTCTGCAGCTGCCTTGCCTATAATTCTTTTGAAGTTCAAATAGCTTCCAACATGGAGTGGACTGCAGACTTTGCCTCTGTGTGTTTTGGTTATGTAACAGATTAGATC